TGCTAATTGTAGCGAAGACACTCTTTATAGCCTACGAGATTGTTCGGTGGTGAAAAAATACTGGGAAAGAATTATGCCATTGGAGTTGCGAGATAATTTCATCTCTCGAGATGATCACGTCGAATGGATTACTTGGAATCTTTCCCAGAGAAGCATTGTAAAAGGTATGAGTTGGACTGTATGGTTCGCGATCCCTTTATAGACAATTATGGCTAAGTAGAAACTCAAGAGTGTTTGAACATAAAGAGAAGGGGATATATAACATTCTTGCACAGAATCAAGCAATGGTAAAGTGGTTTAACCTGAGTTTACTTGCTGAAAATTTGCATCACGACAGTACTAGATGGAGTGCACCAGATATTAGAGTCATAAAATATAATGTGGATAAAGCATGTAGTGTTGGTGGAGAAGTTGCAGGATGTGGAGGTATTTCTCATGACCATACGGACAAGTCCTTGGTGGATTTAAATATCACATTAGGCATAGGGGTAGTATGCAAGCTGAGTTGTGGGCAATCTGTTGGGCACTTAAGAGAGCTTGGGATATAGGATGGAGATCAGTGGAGGTTGAATTTGATTGTACAGAGGCAATCGAGGCTTTGAAGGGGGTTAATTTAGATCTACGTCTGGATCATGACTTAACCCTTGAAATTAAAAGCATGTTATCATGGGAATGGTGTGCTGGAGTGAAATGGTGTAGTCGGGAGGCTAATACAGCTGCAGACAGACTAGCGAAGGAGGCCATAGATCGAAGAGATGGGGTAGTATTTTTCTCAGACCCCCCTGAGTTTATTTTTGAGTGTTTATCTTATGATGTAAGGGATTAGGACCCTCTGCTCTATTTCCACCCAAAAAAAAGTTTAAAATTTATTATACTTTATTATTGTTGGGAATGATGTTGAAAAGGAAATTGTACTAGTTGAAAGTTTAATAAAATTTTAATATGATTTATAGGTGTCTGGAAGAGGAGAAATTTGATTAAAATTGAAATATGAAATTTGAATTTTGGGAATTTCTTTTAAGTGGATAGTGTCTTAACTAATTTTTTAATAAAATTTTATTTACTAAATTATTGCATTTTTATGTAAATCATTTTAATAACAATAATGTGATTGTTGGATATTTTGTTAATTAAATTACTTTATTTCATGAAAATATTTTTACTAGATTTGAAAATTTTAGTTAATCAATAAATATAAATTTGGACTTTAATCATGAAATTTCATTCTAGCAAACATTGGATTGATACAGAAAATGATTCATGCGAGTTTGACATTGAAAATAAAAATTTTATTTAATAGTAATTATTTTCTCGCATGTTTGAAATTGAATTTAAAAAAGACTTTATACAGGACATTGGTTGCTAATGATAATTCCGTTAGCTCTTAGCATGTCATGGTCAATGATTAGCTAGTTTAATTTTTGTGAGCTCTGTTTTCACATTTGTTATTTGTGGGTATGACATCTATGTTCAATTTTATGGTTTTGAGTCACGTTTGATTAGTATAGCCTTTGTGGATTATGTGTTCACATTTATTTTATAACTTAGGCTACATTTGGTTAGTGTTACTCCTATAGATTGTATATTCATATTTGTTAACTGTTTTGATAAGTTCCTATAAATATGGGTGTTGATTATTTGATAGTTCTATATTCCATTGGTTTTGATTAGTGATAAATTTAAAGTTATTTGTTGCGGTTATTTGCTTTCTTAAGATCAAGTTATAATAATATTTAATATGGTAATTAGTGGTTCAAGATTTTATTTAAAATTATATAGAGCCCTTTTTATGCCAAACTTTATTAAATATTTGTTGTGAAAATTGTTATATCTTTAGCATACATAATTATTTTAAACTTTTCTTTCATTCATATTCAATTATTTATTGTTAAGATGTTATTCACTGAAAAAATTATTTTTTTGTCTCAAATTCATTAGCTAATGCTGATTTTCTTGTTGAATTCTAAGAGGCATATAGTTGTATTAGGTGGAATTTTGTCTAGTATTATCTCCTTTGATATAAAAATATAAACTGACACATCTTATTTTTAAAGTATGGCTAGATACTCCACATAAGCTGTAGTTAGGGTTTCTATGATATATATATATATATATATATATATGCTATTTGCTTGTTAGAAGGAGCTGAGCTCCTAATTAATACTATATTTTGTGAAAAACATTGTGTATATAATTTTTAGAAGATCTTATTTACAAGGAAAGTTTTGCCAATATTTCTACACAAATATTGAAACTTTTATTATAAAATATATTATTAAGTATATTATAATTTTGATATAAATTCAATTATGTCTTAGAAATAAAAAGATTTCTCACTTTAAGGTTTAGGGAATAGTGTGATATAGTTCACATTTCGTGCCAATTACTGTCTATTTTCAAGGTGTGACACCCTCCATTTCAAATCTTGTCTTTCTTGTTTTGTCTTTCTAAATGTAATAATATAAAAATTGTAAAATTGATGCCAAAAAGTGGAGAGAGAGAAAAGACTCTTATTACTTTGCCATTGTCTAATACCCAAAAACGAACAAAACCCTAGTTTCATTTAATCATCTTCTTTCCTCTTCTTTTCTTTGTTGTGCATCTCCTGGCCTAAACTGCAATATTTTGTTTGATTTTCAGCTCCTCTCATGACTTCATTGTAGATCTGACAATTTTGTAAATGACAATGTATATCTAAGGGGTGGTTTAGTATAAAATGTCTTCTTTTCTTAATTTCTTTTCATGACATCTTTCACCTTCCTCATCTTCACCCTCTCTTTCTCCGTGCGCATGAGGTTTCATCTTTTTATTATTATTATTATTATTATAACCCAGCCAAATTAGTGGGTTACACTTGAGTTGATCGGGTCACTCCGGGTTGACCACATTAGGCCAAGTTAACAAACTTGCTAACTGGCTGGTTTGTTAGTTTTTGGGTGTTTGTAACATGTCAAATATTTTGTTGTTGGACTATTCCCCTAACTGGATGCATATTAAGTTTACTAATACTAACAATGTTGAATGCTATGCGACTTTTGTGTATGGTTTCCCTAGTGTTCAGTACAGATATATTTTGTGGGATTGGCTGCAAATTACACATGCTCATTTGTCCAATCAGATTGGTAGTGGCACAGATAAGAGAAGTGCTTGCTCTTCTTTGGTTGGTATTTCTGTGTTTGAGGAGGTTTTTGATCATTGTGGTTTCAATGATATTAGACCACAAGGAGGATGGTTCACATGATCTAATAATCGTCAAGGGGATAATTTGGTTTCTGAACGACTTGACAAGGCTTTTGTGTACCAATTCCTAGATTCAATGTTTGCTGCATTCTTCCCTTTACATTTTACCTTTGGCTACCTCTGACCGTATGCCTATTTCCAAACTGTATGTTTTGCTTTAGGTCCCAAGATTTTTCGTTTTGAAAATTTTAGGTTTAAATTTCCTGAGTGTGAAGCTTTGGTGTGAAATGAATGGAACAAGGTTGTTTCCAGATCTTAGACATATAGGATTGCATTCAAGCTTAAAAACTTTGTGTTCCATTTTGAGGACCTGGAATAAGAAAACTGTTGGACATATTGGTTTTAACATCTCCAACCTTGAAAATGCCTCAGCCAACTTGCAACAACAGCAAAAGGATTCACATTTGGGTACAGTTGACCCACAGAGAATAAGAGGTCAATTGGGATTTTGGTTTGATTGTGAGGAAAGTTTATGGGCTTAGAAATCCAAACTTCAGTGGCAAATTGAAGGAGATCGTAACACTTCATATTTCCATGCTGTGGTGAATAAACGAAGGATTAATTAGGCAGCTATTACAAATTCAAGATGCTCAAGGTTGTTGGATTAGAAATCAGGATGATATCCATGAACAAGTGATCAGTTATTTTTCTGGGTTCTTTGAATTCAATCAGCACATTGATTTAGCCAAAATGAAGGAAACGCTTAACCAAATTAATTTACCAACCCTCTCTGATTATCATCATCAATTGCTAATTATGCCAGTAACAGATAGTGAAATTGAGTTTGCTCTGTTTCAGATCAAGGCTGATGGTGCAAATGGTCTTGATAGGTATCATGCTTGTTTTATTCATCTATCTTGGGATTTTTTGAGGCATGATATCATTAATATGATCAAACATATGTTTCATAGTGGTTTCATATTGAAGTAGCTGAATCGTACTTTCATTACTTCAATTCCTAAATGTGATCACCTGTGTTCGTTTAAGGATTTTCGACCAATAAGACTTTTGCATAACGGTTCTTTATAAATTGTTTTCAAAAGTTTTGTAATAGACTTGAGCAAATTTTGGTCACTTAACATTGATATGTGTGTATATATGCGTAGGCGCTGGGAAAAGATTAAGTTAGAGTTAATTTAAAAAAAAAAATTAAGAGTGGAAGATATATTTTGGGAGAATTTCATTTAAGAACTAAGGATGTTTACATTGCATGATTAAAGGACTAAATTGAGATAATTTTTTTTTTAAATGACTAAAATGCTCTTCAACTAACTATAACTTTATTTATTAATTTCTCAATATAACTTGTTAATTAATTATTTAACTTTACTTTTTAAATTTGTAACTCTTTCAATTGAATGATATTATTTATTAATTACATAATTTTACTTGTTAATTTCTCAACAAGATTTATTAATTATTTAATTTTATTTATTAAATACATGATTTCTTCAACTAAACTGCATTATTTATTAATTATATAATTTTACTTACTAATTTTACAACAATACTTATTAACTTCATCATTTGATTTACTAATATCATATAAAAAAGTGAAAGACATTTTTATCGTTTTAAATAAAAGCTTTTAGTCTTGCATTGTAGTTTCAAATTTTATTAAATCTGATTTATAAATAAGTCACATCTGGTCCTTAAATAAAATCTTTTCTATTATTTTCCTTTAATTTTCTTAATTTTTATTTTCCTAAGCCTCAGAAATTAGGATGATTCCAATTATCACCGACTACGCTTAGATTCTCATTATCCAGAACCCTGTTGAATCTGGTTCTCTATACTTTTACGCTGTTCTGTGAATGAACTTTGAAGCGTCTTCATGTAAAAGTGCAATCTTTAATTGAATTTTCTTGAATCACTTCTGCTTTTCGGGAGTGCCAGCGAAGGCGAGGCTTTAATCTGTACCAAAATTTATTTTGTTGAAAGATAGAAATTTTATTCATATGATTTTCGCAGATTGACTTACGAACAGATTTTATCATAAAAATCCATGGATGCAAAATCTAAATGGGACCACGTGTCAGAGGCACTAATCTCATTCACCCTAAAGCGCACGGCACGCTCGTCTTGTAGCTAGATAATGATGGAGACAAACAACGAAGCGCACTAGATCAATCTGAAAAATAGACTAAAACGTTGGGCTTACCGCAATTGAAGAAGACAGAAGGATAATGTGCAGCGACGCAGGAAATGGAAAACTGGTCTGCATCACTGGCGCTTCTGGATTTATTGCTGCGTGGCTCGTTAAGCTCCTCCTTCTTCGTGGTTACACCGTCAATGGCACTGTTTGCGATCTGTGAGTGCTCTCTAATGTTTTCATTCGCATTGATGTACGCTGACTATGCCAAAATTGTTTCATTAAGTTCGTAAAGGTCTAAAATTCCCTCTTGTCTCTCCATCTCTTCTTTTTTGGCTCCGTCCAAGCATAGTATCACCAAACTATATTATTGAATCCTAGGAGAGTTCTGTCAGTGGAGTCTATGGTTCTAATATTACTTTTGTCATGGACCTTTGGTTGTTGATAGAGAAGTTCTGGCAGCATCCTTGTGGTTCTCAAGAAAAATGTCATTTTTAATTTGGAAGTGGGTACATGTGTAGCCAACTTGCAAAAATAATAATCAAGAATTTTCGAATACAATAAAATTGTGTGGATATTTTCTTTCAGATCTGGAGCTTAGTCAGATTCACTAACAATTCCATTTGATCGTGGTTTATAAGTTACTCCTTCATTGTTTACAAAGTACAATGTTTCTTGCTATTTAGTACTGTTTTGAGGGGCCAACCTGTGATGGTTTGCAATTCCCGGCAGATGATTCAAGAAAAGAAGGACACTTGCTTAAACTTGATGGTGCAAGGGAGAGATTGCATCTATTTAAAGCAAATCTCCTGGAAGAAGGTCCCTTTGACGCTGCCGTTGAGTGGTGCGAGGGGGTCTTTCATACTGCATCTCCCGTTGTTTCTAATGTCAAAGACCCACAGGTTCCTATCATCTTTAAATTGTTGAATGATGACTGAAAGTAGACTGCAACTTCGCCTTTGGTGAAACATTCTTTCTTGGACACTCCTTACTGTTTGAAGTGTCTTGTAGCATTTTTCATTATCTTTATGTGGCTTTGGAGGAAGAGAGAGTAGACTGGGCAATGCATTATGATGAATTCGTCTTCCCATTTCTAAATGAGAAATTAAAATATTATTCTCGCTAACAGACTATCAATTTGACTGTTTCCCAAAGTTTTTCCTTTTCCTTGCCCTCAACAGATAATAACACAATCTAACAATCTTAGTTAATATAATCCAATGAGTTCTCTGACCAAAACAAAAAAAGAAAACAAAACAAAACAAAAAATCCAATGAGTTCACTTTGCATTCGTAGACTTGAAGCATCACAATTATTGCTTTTTTACTGGCTAAATGTTGGGAGATTTTTGCCAAAAGCAAAGCAAAGAACGGGACACCATGTCTTAGGTGCGTGCAATTCATGATATTTATGGGTAAAAGGCCAGGAAATTCTAGGGAGCCATTACTACATTCCTTGCATTTCAACTCTTTTTTATTGGAGCAATGTATTTTAGAAGCAAAGAAATTACAGTAGCTTAGGCCTTTATGTCTCAGGAACAATTTGGATCTCCTTGTTTTTATTATTGATGGGCCCAAGAGAAGCAAAGACATATGGTTGCCCTTTTTCTTTCAACTTCTAACTTTTGCTTTCCTCATTTCAGATTGATTTTATTGATCCAACAGTCAAGGGAACTCTTAACATTATTAAAACATGTTCAAAATCACCATCTCTTAAAAGAGTTGTCTTAACATCATCCATGGCTGCAATTGCATATCATGGAAACCCTAGAAATCCTAAAGTTGTAGTTGATGAGACATGGTTTTCAAACCCAAGTTTCTGTAGGGAATCAGGGGTATATGCTGTATGTCATTAAACTGACATTGAAAGGAAGTTTTTAATAATGTAGTTATTTCAACAGTTTTCCTTTTTCTTTTTTGAAAATAAATTATATGATAGCAGACAACAGTTCAATATTTTCAGCCTTGTATGCACTAGATAGTTGCTGCTGAGCAATTGTGCTGATGTATTTGTTACAACTTTCGTTGTATGTGAATACGGTATGGCATTTGTCACACTGTTGTGTCCAATGCTGCATTGGGATGAATATTAACTAAGATGGCCACAACAAAGCTTGCAAGTGGAAGATAGGGAAAGGTTCATGAGAGGGAAATGACTAAAGGAATTTATGAAATGGTTCCGGGTCAAGATGGTGCTATGGTGCAGGAAGGAGGATGAGAAAAAGCAACTAACTCTTGTATGTTTTCTTGATGCGCAACGGAATTTGTGGATCAGGGGGAAGTTTTAGGTGGGTATGGTTGGACTGGAGGCTTTAGGCATGGTTTTGTCTTGTTTGTGAGAGAGAGTCATGACCTCTTGAATGTCAGGGACTGAGAGCTTAATTTCATTAGCACGTCGTGTATTTTCTGTGTCTTTCTAGGTATATTGTAATGTAGTAGGGGATAATTTTGTGCTACCTCTTCCTATCTCATAGAGAAGAGGTATTTGATTCCCTATAATACAAGGATAAGTAAGTTTTTCAGAAGTTCCCAAGCTTGCAAACCTAGTTTCCATGATTAAAAATTTGTCTTCCAAGCTTAAAATCTAGTTCTCAACACATGCATCCTATTTTACAATCCTTCCATGCTTCTTCTTGTTAATATTTTGTTCTTTCAGCTATGGTATGAATTTTCAAAGACTTTAGCTGAAGATGCTGCCTGGAAATTTGTAAAAGAAAACAGCATTGACATGGTCGCTATCAACCCATCATTTGTGATAGGACTACTCCTGCAACCATCTCTTAATGAAAGTTCAGCAGCAGTTTTAAATCTGATAAATTGTAATTTTCATATAATCACAAGAATCATGTTGTACTGACATCCTGGTAGTTGATTTGTCCTAATCATAGTCACTTCATATTTTTTTAAAGAGAATTTTTTTTTGGCTCCAATTAATTGACTGAAAGGGGGAAAGGAGTGAAAATGTTGAGGTGGACTTATGAGGTTTGGGATGGAAAAAATGAGGGTTAAAATGATTCTAATCAGAAACTTTGAATTGACTTACATGTATGTATATTAGATCACAATGCATAACATTATGCTAGATCAGGGTCTCAAAACAACAGTGCTCTATGATTTTGTCTCCATGAAGAATGGCAGAAAGAGGGAATGCATTGGACAGCCTTAATGAGGGAGGCTTGTTTTATATATATATATATATATATATTTTATGACAGAAAATGTAGGCTGTATAGCTTGAGATACAAATAGTTGGCATCACATGCTCTTACTAGAAAAGAAGAAAGATAAGCAGATGCAATTTTAGCTATTTTCATTCTTGAAAAAAGGATTAAGATACAGGGGATATTTCTTTGAATTCTCATTTCCCTCTTAGCACGTGGAAGACAAGGCCTAAGATGGGTGTTGTTAGCTATGGTTTCATCTTTCTCAGAAATAAGTTGAAGTCTGAGAGCACTTGTTTCTACAATTTTTGGTTTACAATCCAATAATCTCTTTCCCGATAACAATCTAATTCTATGAATTTAATTTATTCTTATTTTGAGGAATGTTGGTTGATTTGAATGTGTGTTAACTATTTTATTGTTTTGGTTCTGGGACAAGAGTTTTTGTTTAATTCCTTTTGACATTCTTCTGTTGCTTGTTTGACTTAGGATCACAAACGTTTCTAAAGATCACTGGTGGATGAATCAATGTAAAAGATGTTGCAAATGCCCATATCCAAGCATTTGAGATTCCCACAGCTAATGGAAGATGTTGTTTGGTTGAGTCTGCGGCATACCACTCAGAGGTTGTGAAGATTTTGCATGAATTGTACCCAAGATTACTTCCAGATGAGTAAGTTAACTATTTATGTTATTTATATTTTTTTGCTGAACCCACATTTGCTTGTGTTTTCTCATTTCCATGTTGCTGCTAAAAATGGTGATCGCATAATCACCTGGTAGTTGGCCAAAGTGGTTGGTTAAAATGATATTTTAATATTTTATACAGGTAAGAAATAACATTAGTCTATTGGAAATTATTTGCAATTTAAGGGATTTAATCAGTATTAATTCTCTTAGAAGGTATTTTTTGTATTTTTTGGGGTCCTTTTCTATAATTTTCTGGCTCTCTCTCTGTAATTTTTTTTGGTCAACAAACGGTTAAATTAGTGGTTATTTAATGAATAGACGATATTGTTTCTTTTTTAATATGCAAAAGGAAATATTGTGCCACCCTTGACTTTCAAGATACCTAGTACTTTTGGAAAAAAGTTCAAGGGTAAATTAGCATTCAACACTTTAACCGTTTGATGTATTGTCTAACAACTAATGGCTTGCTGTGCCTTTGTTCAAATATGAACGACTGAGTTGTGTATTTAGCTTATTTTTTCAGAATAGAAGTGCTTTAATAATGAGTCATGCAAAATCAAAAGTCCTAAAGGCATAGGTTCAGTATGCAAGGCAGGATACAACATAGTCTCACACTTTGGGGAGTGATACATGAACCACAATGAACTCAAAAATCATTTCATGAACTTGGATCACCGGCCAGTTTGCATTATGAGTTTGTCTCACTAATTGTGCTCGTTGGTGATAATCCAATCCTTCATGAGCAGGTCTCTGATCTCATTAACATATGTGCTAAGCAGATAGTTTGTAAAGTCTTCTCTAGCAATAAAGTTCAAGGCTTAAATGGAGTCACTGCAAACCATCACTCTTATAATTCCGCTGCCATGCTTTACAAAAATCTACTGACATTTTCATCACAGAATTTGGCCTCCACAAGTAGCTTTTCTTCTATGGTCAACCGGACCATCTGCGTCAAGTCTCACCCACAAATGTCAAGTGTTAACTTCAACTGGACAGAAAACTGCATTGCGTTGCTCCTTGCTTATAGTGACCGTTCCTTGAACTTGATGATAATGTATTTGGATTATAACCCATAATCCTGCACTCTACTTTCTTTGCAGTTCAGTATGTATTTATTTTGTTTAATTTTCTTTGTTTATTTATTTATTTATTTTTTTGACTTCACTATAAAATTTATTAGGCGTTTGGACAGTGAGCCCTTAATGCTGAAGTATCAGGTTTCCAAGGAAAAGCGAAGGACCTTGGGAATTGAGTTTATTCCACCAGAGGTGGGCCTGAAAGAGATTGTTGAAAGCTTGAAAGAGGAATTTTGTTAACATTTAGCTCTAAATGTAGTCTCTGTCAGAATACTAAATGCTTGTTGTAACCGTAACGCATGCTTTGAGCTTGTATTTTGTTTTAATAACCATATGTCTCTTGGAACACTCCCTCCGGTTCTTAATGCAAGGTAAACTAAATCAACTTTGCGCATATTATAGTTGCTATATCCTAAAAACTGGGCTTTAACACATCATTCTTTTTTTGTTTTTTGTTCTGTTTTTTGGGTAATCCCACATCATTCTTTATAATTCAAATATCTTATTCATTTAAGGTACTATAGCACCCACGCCATTCTGCCTCGAAGCTTCGATAGTTTTCAATTGATCTTCAATATTCTGTAATATATCTTGATCACTGTTTAGTCTTCTTGAGGGAGGTCCAAGAGGAGTCTCAAGTTCAAAGCTAACAGGCTGATAACCTCTCTAGAAAGGTGAACAAAAGTTTGCAAAACATTAAAATTAAAATGATGATACAGTTTTGCCATCTGATCCGCACATTGAATTGCTTCTCTATAAGCACAAGCAATTTAAACGTTTCTTGTGTCACATTAGCAGATCCCTGATTTGTGATATTGTTTCACTGGGTGGATAATAAGTTGTGTCTTCGCTAGAAATGAGCGAAGTGGCTTTCATGGAGTCAAAGAAGAATTGGATTTTATTGAAACCCTGTTCCTTACTTGAATTCCAATTTGAATTGCCTTTAGTTTAGCTTCTCTTGAATTGAGGTATCCCAAGTGTTGAGTGAAGCCTAATCTCCAGTTTTCATGTTGATCTCTAATAACACCTCCCCATGATCTCATAAAATTAAATTTGGACTTTTGCTTATGATATTATGAGATTTCTTTTAATTTATAATATTAAGGTTTTGGATATTCTCACATGTAAGATCTAATTAACACATTAGATAAGGGTTTAGTGTATGTGATAATAAACTAAACATATGTATTAAGTTAAAGTTGTATACCTGATTCAACCATAGTTACTAAACTATGAGTTAGTCAACCTAGATCTTCCTCTCAAGATCCTCAAGTGTATGCGGCTATTGATGGGAAAGCACACAGTGAGTTGGGGTTGAGAGGTAATCTAGCCCATTTAAATATGTTGGGCGCGCCTATTATAGGTTTGTATAAGGTTAATGGTCTTCCCCTAAATCGATCGTGTGTCAGACCCATGGTTACATATCATAATTGGGTTTTAATATTTCAGGAACAAGTAGGTAACTCGATTTAACAAATCATAAAATAATTAATGTGAGCCCACACATAAATTTTCAACACGTTGATCTCTAATAACACCTCCCCATGATGCAAGCTGGTGATGAGTAGCAGCATCATCTACATCTACACGCATTGTATCCTTTATTGGTGGAGTCCATGTCATTTTTGCGAGCTGAGATATCATAGATGAGTGGTCTGTGCTTCCTGGATGAGGACATACTCTAAAAGCCCAATTTGAGGGAGGGCCTAACCATGCATTTTATTTGAATACAATGGCAACAAGAAAGGATAACTTTGTTTGTATATTTTACCAAAAAAAAAAAAACTTTGTTTGTATAATAACACTGCCCATATAAAAAAGCACGAATTAAATATAACGCTGCCCATATAAACTGGCAGCACGTGTCCTGACCAATAAATTAATCAAAGATGTGTGAAAATGCAAGCAAGCGCATAATGACAAACGTTGAATCGAGGAATCATTCCATCTAACGATCTCATAATGTCAAAAGTCGTGGTACCAAGAAAATCGAATCGCTGAGAGAATAAAAATACTGAAGAAGAAAGGAAGAGAGAATGAGCAACAACGCAGGGAAAGTGGTGTGCGTCACTGGTGCTTCTGGCTACATTGCTTCATGGCTCGTCAAGCTTCTTCTTCTTCGCGGTTACACTGTCAAGGCCACTGTTCGCGATATCAGTGAGTGCTCCTTAATTCGCTTCCTTTCATCTCAATGCATTGATCAAAAACATTGTTTCATTTTCAGACTTTGATTTCCAGCCTTTTGCTGGGACACATTTTTTTAGGGAAAAAAATTAATTACAAATGGGTCTGCTTAATAGCTTAACAAGCATGGGAATTTGATGCCACTGGGGCTTACATGGCCATTACTGGGACAATATTTTCAACACATAAACTTCTATGGACCACTAATCCTCTTTACAGAATATTGTTTCATATATGCTATCTGCACAATTTTAAGTAATCAATTTGTGATGTTCTGTAATTCTCACTCCCTCTAGATGATCCCAAGAAGTTAGACCATTTGCTTGAACTTGAAGGAGCAAAGGAGAGATTGCAGCTTTGTAAAGCAAATCTTTTGGAAGAAGGTTCCTTTGACTCTGCTGTTGAGGGCTGTGAGGGTGTCTTTCATACTGCCTCTCCTTGTATTTTCAATGTCAAAGATCCACAGGTTCATCTCATTCTATAATTGATAGATGATAAATCATTGAATGAAGTTTGTCTGCAGGAAAGCGCTATTTTTTAATGCGTTGATGTTTTTGAATGATCTCTTCGACAACTATTTCAAAGGTTTGGGCAAATTCTGGGAGATTTTTGCAAGTCACACAGTAAAAAATAGATAAGGTTCCATTTATCCATGATATGTATGGTTAACAGACACGAAGATTGAAGAGAAACACAACCGCATTAATTTCCTTTCATCCCTTAGTGGACCAACGAATTTTAGAATTACTGAACGTACTGTACCTGAACCTTCTTCCTGTTATACTGTTTTTAATCTTATTTTGACTCTTTATGTGGTACTATTGTGAGGAAGGGCAGTTTGGAATCTCAAATGCATGATTCACATGCAAAGAAAGCAACTAATTCATTTGAGTATCTTAAGTTGACATACTTTGGCATTTTTCTGAAATTTGTGCAAAGGACAAAAAATGGTGTCTAACTATTTTTATTATCTCCTTGCCTTGATTGTTCGTCATTTTATATATGTGAACTCTTATGAGTTAATGATTAAATTTTGAGAAGAATGCTGAGGCTCTCCATGAATTCATGTGAATCAGAAGTTTGGCAATTATTTGAATTCCTATTTTTTGTCTTAAAAAGAAAAGCTTACTAGCTACTAATTGTTGCTTTCCTCATTTCAGATTGAACTCATTGACCCAGCAGTGAAGGGAACTCTTAACATTCTTAAATCATGTGCAAAATCGCCATCTTTGAAACGAGTAATTCTAACATCTTCTATGGCTGCAGTTTTATATAATGGAAAGCCCATAACTCCTGACGTTGTAGTTGATGAGACATGGTTTTCGAAGGCAGATTTTTGTAAAGAATCCGAGGTTTGTGCTAGATATCATTAAACTCACATTGAAATCAATTTTGTAATTAACACAAATGACCCATTTGATTGTAGTAGTGTATGCTGCGTAGAGCTAGAAGAGGAAGTTTTCAAATTTTCCTTGTAACTCCATCCTACATGAAGACTTTATCTTGTTGTAGTTATGACTTAAATCAGTTCATTGCATTCATGAGGTCATTCATTTGTAATTGTGAAGTGCTGGTTGCACATGAAACACGATAAACTGCTTCAGCAGTTTGCCTTATTTTGTCTGACTCATCTCGGTACTTTATAACGACCTTCAAGTTCCTTCTTGTTTCATGTTCTGTTTTTTTTTAGCTCTGGTCCTCATATGAGCTTTCCAAGACTTTGGCTGAAGATGCTGCCTGGAAATTTGTAAGAGAAAACAATATTGACATGGTTGTTATCAACCCAGGAGTAGTTCTGGGGCCACTTTTGCAGCCATCATTAAACCAAACTTCTGCTACAATTTTGACTCTAATAAATGGTAATTTTTAGATATTCACAAGGTTCATGCTGTACAGAAATCTTGTTATATGATATGTGTGCATCTTGGTTACGTGAGCTTTTGCAACTGAAATGCTTTCTGGTTCTAGCTAATTGGCTCTAGTGTTGGTGATGAAATATAATAATTAGTATATTTTGAAGAAACCTCCTATAGGAAGAAACCTAGGTTGTAGCTTATTATTACTTTTGTGTTATTTTAATATTCTGAAAATTGGCTTTATATGGATGAGTGATTAAAGTTTCCTTAATAGGCAAGGAACTTTAGTTTAAATAGACTAGGCTTTGCTCTTGTAAGGGGACACTTGATGAATGAATGAGTATTATGATGGAAGTCTGATAGTTCTCTCTCTATGCGTTCTGCCCTCCTCTCTTGCTCCCTTTTACTGTTCTGTTCTTCTTTTCTCCCCCCTCCTTCTTTGTTTCAGACTTCTCCCTAATCTCTCCGCCTCTGTGTTTCTAGTTTTTCTCTACTCTCTCCCTCTATTCAGATATTGCTAATATGTGTGAGTGTGTTACATTAGTTGACTTGTGATTTGTGAGGTTCTTATCAAAGAACAAGTTGAGAGAGGAATCCCTTGAAACAGTCATGCGTAGATAACCAAATAAAAGCCATATACAGAACACTATCCCATACCACTTACAGGTGCAAAGAGAGAACATGAAGATTTTGACATTCCATTCTAAAAAAGTACATGATATAATCACAAAAACCACACTTATCCACTGTGAAGTGAAGAAACAAAGAGAATGCTTTGGAAAGTCTTGATAAAGTGAGGCTTGTATTACATATATTTGTAATTATGTGAAGATTGTGAAGCTTGATAAAGAACCAATGTGGGGCTTTATCAAAATAAACTAAAACTTCCATTGTTTGTGAGATGCAGGTGAACAAATGCTTTTGAATCCTTGTGTAGGATGGATCCATGTGAAAGATGTTGCAAATGCTCATATTCAAGCATTTGACATTTCTTCAGCTAGCGGAAGATATTGTTTGGTTGAGAGAGTCGCTCACTTTTCAGACATTGTGAAGATCACTCAAGAGATATTCCCAACATTACCACTTCCAGAAAAGTAAGTCAACCATTTCCTTAGTTTCATGAATGTATATAACTTGTGATTTTAGGCCTCCATTTGCTGAACCCTGGTGTTTAGCAAATTCCATTCACTGCCCCTGAATATGAGACTACTCATGAACTGCTAGCTGCAAGGGCACCAAACAACAACAACAACAACAAGTCTTATCCCACTAGGCGGGGTTGGCTGCAAGGGCATAAAAAAAAAAAAATTTGAAGTTCATGTCAGTTTCCATTACTTTAATCTTTCTTCATGCACTGAAGTTAAAATGAGCATGACCTGAAAAATACGCTCGGATTGTCATACAAAATTTTCATCCAAGATTCAACAGATATGTTCTCTCAATCTGGTATGCTGATTGTACCCTTCAGTTTGTGGCTAAATGAGACACCAGCAGTCAGATTTAATCAGTATAAAGCCTGTTCTTAGGGGATCAATAATAGATTATCACCAAACAATCTTAAAAAAATCAATTATTAATCCTTGGGTCATATTTAATTACCCATGCCTTACACATTGAATTTTTTATGTCTAGGTTTAGCTAAATTTTTTGTTTCTGATTTTTTGCTAATTTAATTTTTTGTTTCTCGATAAACTTGTTAGGTTTGTTGAGGATGAATCATTGGTGCCACAGTTTCAGGTCTCCAAAGAAAAAGCAATGACTTTGGGAATTGAATTTATTCCATTGGACGTGGCTGTTAAGGAGACTGTAGAAAGCTTGAAAGAGAAGAAGTTTCTGAACTTGTAAATCATGATCTCTCCTATAAACATGAATAACCGTTACCTTTTTATAAGTTTGTGCATTTGGTTTTATTTTATAAACTACATATCCTTTGTAATAAGTTAAACTATGCTATGCTTGAGAATACATAATTGTTATACAAGTCTTGTATTAGATAGGACCTTGTGACAAGTTGAATTTGGGCACCTAAGACCTCTCTCTCTAATATGGAATAAGTTCGGCTGGTGTGACCACGGTTATTTGTAATCAGAATTCACCGAAAACGTTATAGCGTAATTGGAAGACGGAAATTAATCTTATTTACATATAATTTATATTACAAAGGTGAGAATGAGATCCACCCATGGCAAAGGTGGAGACAGCGGGATTGGCAGGGGCTACAGTCCTTCCTAACTTTTTTATTTTTTATTTTTTTTTTGTAAAATATGGAGATTATATATTTTTAGCCCTTTAAGTTGGCAAATTATAAGAGTTTTGAGATACTAGATGAAATTTTTATTTTAATTCTATATGTACTCTTTTTCATATGTATAATGTAATTATTTTAGTAGCTTGAAGTTATAGTTGTTATAGGATCTATTTATTATTTTTAATAAGATAATGTTACACATACTCTTGAAGTATTGATATCATTTTATTTTGTTTTTGTTTTATATTTGGTGAAAGAAATTAGGAGAATTATTATTAATAAACTTTGTCAAGCATTGGAATAAAATCACTTATCAAGCTATTACAATAAGAGGTTATGGTTAAGATATTCTTCTAAAAAAAAATTACTTTTTTAAAATAATCAAGCTATTAAAATTTATTATATAAATAATTTTTACTCTGATATAATTTGATCTCATCAATATAAATATTTTGTGACTATCATGCATTATTACTATGTTGATATATTTATTTACTACGATTATTAATTCAAATAATTAAGTAGTAAATTTAATAACCAAGTAAATATAGCTTATTATATTGAATAGAATTTTAAATTTGAATAATGTATTTAAATCATTTAATGTTTATAGAGAAGGTAAGATTTTCATCAATTTAATGATAATTTACATTGAAAAAGAAATTGCTAAAATGTTTATTATAGATATGGTAACTAATGATTTTTATGCCATGAAAAATATATATGTTGAAATATTTATGTTATATTGATGACATATAAAGATTTATCCTTCTTTTAATTATCATATATACTTTGTCATCTCGACTCCCTAATAAAATTTTTTGGCTTTGCCCTTAACCCTTGGCATCTGCATTTAATGCTCATCATAGTGCACTTGCTCATCACCCATTAAGGTGATCTTGACTATGTACTTTTGATTTTAAATTATTTTTTAAATATTTTAAAGATTGTATTTGTGAAAATAAAAATTATAAAAAATTTTAATATTAAATTTGGACTATTCAAAATATATCTAAATAGTTAATTTGTAAAAATTATAAAAAAATTTAATATTAAATTAGATTGTTCAAATTATGTATATACTATGCAGAGTACATTTGGCTAGTTAATTTTTAAAGTTAAAAAAATTATATTAAATTGAATCATTTAGATTAAATCTATACTAAAAAGATTAATGATGAATAAATTCACTAAAAATTTGATATTTTTTATACATTTTTATTTTGATAAATATAAAATAAAAACAAAAACTTAAATATGGGTTGTTTATGCCATTATTCTCTCCATCTGTGACATCCCTGTCATGGGTGGCCCACCTATTGGAAAAATTCGAGTCTAATTTTGATATTACTTTGTCATGAACCTCTCTCTCTCTCTCTCTCTCTCTCTCTCTCTCTCTCTCTCTCTCTCTCCCCACAAGGGTGTGTAGTGTACTCGCTTAATTTATTTGATCAACCTTTTTTAATGATGTTATCATCTTTTGTGTGGTTTAGAGGTTCAAAAGGAAGTATGGTGAGAGACATATTATATATGTACATCCTTTGTTTGTCCTATCCATACACAAATAAACTATTACCAAAAAAGAAAAAAAGACATACAATAGTGCCCTTATTAAAACACTTAACAAGAAAAACATTTTGGTAATGTGTAAAAAAAAAATTTTGGCAAGGAGAGCAGAGCCTATGAGAGTGCTTCTCTAAAGAAGTGATTCCGTATGACTTACCTATTGGAGTGCTTTATATGACAGATGCTCCTATAAGACCTTAAAAAGGAGGGAGATCAATCAGAGCGCTTCTCAAATGAAACAGTCTGATAGGTTATACCATATCAATACAATTCTAAAAGAAAGTGCTTTGATATGGTTTTTATTTTTATTTTTTAAAAATATTTTTATAAAAGAACTTCAATAGGTTATACCATATCAACAAATTGAAGTACCTAGTTGTTGTTATTATACTAGTTCACTTGGTGCTCTTGGAAATTGAAACTTAAATCTTGAAATCTTTTGGTTTTTTGTTCACAACTGGGTACATTTGGGAGATTTAGCAAATTACAGTGTAAATATTAGAGTACCACGACAAATTTGATTTGATATAGATGTTTTTTTCATGTGTATTGAGTTATAATAAATCATAAGTTTCTCAGCCATTTAAGTTAACATTTTGTTGCCATAAAACAATAGCAGTCTTATTTCCTAGTTTCTAATAGCTGCTCTCCTCATGACAGACTGAACTTATTGATCCGGCTGTCTAAGGAACTCTTAATGTTCTTAAATCATGTGAAAAATTACCATCTCTGAAACGAGTTGTTTTAACATCTTCTATGGCTTCAGCTTTCTGTAATGGACAACCTAGAACTCTTGAAGTTTTGTTGATGAAACCTGGCTTTCAAAGCCAAAATTTTGCAGGGAGGCTAAGGTATGCTTCATATAATTTCTTAGACTAACACTGAAATAAAGTTTTTCTTTGATACATATGTCTTCTGTTACTGTAGTAAATACTGCAAAGTTGGGGTTTGAAGTTTTCATGTTTCATTGCAACTTTATTCTGCATAAAGACTACAAATTGTTGTGTTTATGATGGAAGTCAGATCATCGTATTGCTTTGATGCACTGATTGCACCTTAAACCAATCAAAATTGCTTCAACAGTTTGCTTTCTTAATTTTATATTCCCTCTGAACCACAATATAAATCATAGTTAACTAATTCATTATTTATGAATAATATTAGTTGAAATCTTAAATTATTAAAAATATCCACATCTTTCCATCTATACCCTCATTAAATACCCATATAAGAGCCTTGATAATAGTAATTAAAATTTTAGTACATGATTTTTTTTCAAAAAGGGTAGTAAATAAAGTAGGGATAGTTGAAAAAATGAATATAAAAGCTATTCAATGTCCTATATTTTAAACCAGGCAAGGTTTCTAGGAGATGCCGTATATTATGGTCCGGGGGGAGTATGATATTCCTCTAATTCTATTTATAAGATAGAGAGAGAGAGAGAATATTTTTTTTTACCTTGTTTTTTATGTTATTAAACTTTATCACAAGTTAAAAACTTACATTTTTAGACATAGTTAATGAGGTTTATTATTTAACCTCATTATTCAGATAAAACATGTCAAAAGTGATTTTTAAATAGGATATGATGGATATTGTCTCTGTATTCATTCCAACATAAGAAAGAAAGAAAAATTCTAGGCAGTTTTAGCCTTGTATGCTCTAGAAAATTGTTGTTGATTTCACTAATGTATTTGTTCCCATTTTCAATGTATGCAAATACAATGTTTGCCATGCTTATTATTTTAGAATCTTCTAAAATTTCCCTTTTGTTTAATATTTTGTGAATTGTGATCTTAGCTCTGGTATGCACTTTCCAAGAATTTGGTTGAAGATGCTGCCTGGACATTTGTAAAAGAAAACAACATAGACATGGTTGTTATCCATCCATCATATGTACTAGGATCACTTTTGCAACCATCTCTTAATGACTCTTCTGCTACAATTTTAAAGCTATTAACTGGTAAATTTTTGATGTCCACAAGGTTCATCTGCTGTATGAAAATCCTGATATTTAATCTGCCATAATCTTGATTACTTGAAAACCTTTTCTGACTTTTGATAGTTGCCAAAGGAAAATTATAAGGATTATGCTTTGGGATTAAAACTGTGGATTACATTCATGTTTCATATTATAGTGCTTGGCTAACTGCTAAATTAGATGATTAATTCAATCACTTTTTTCTCTAATCTTAAACTAATGGGTCCTTAATTTAGTATTGTTTTGAGAACTCTTGGTTAACTGGAATGTATGTTAAATATTCTCTTGATTTGACTTTTAGACTAAAATTTGAAGAATCATTCCATGCCATTTTTAGTGCAAGTGCACAAATGTCTCCTAATTTAACTGTAGGATGGATCAATGAGAAAGATGTTGCAAATGCTCATATTCAAGCATTTGAAATTTCTTCAACTATGGAAGATATTGTTTGGTTGAGACAGTGGCACACTTCTCAGATATTGTAAAGATTTCACGTGAATTGTACCCAACATTACCACTTCCTGAAAAGTAGGTTAAAGCTTTCCATAATCCATTAATTCATGTAACTTTTGACTTCTCAGATCACCATTAACTGTCACTTATCAATTGGTACTTGTTGTGGCAACATACATATAAATTGTCCATATTTATTCTAAATTATGTCTGACTTAGTAGATGAACAAGAATGTGCCTTAGCACTAAATCAGTTCTAAAATTTGTAATGACTAAACCCAACTGAAAGAATCCAAATATTAATGCTTGGATTTTCTTATAACTCAAGTCTATATAGAGGTAAGACATACTCCTTCCAGTCCTACTTATAAAGCAAAGAGAAAAGATTTTTTGATCTTATTATAAGGCATGCCATTGACTTTTTGTCATAAGTTTATCTTTTTACTCCCGTTAAATGCTAGTGAAAGAAAATATATTATTGAAAGAAGATATATTATTGAAATATGTATATTTAATAAGGTTAAAATTAGAAACTTCTCAAAGTTTTAGACAAAGTTAATGAATTATAGAGTTTTTTTTTTAAATTTCGTTAAAACATGTTGGAAGTAATTTATAAATAAGATTGGAGGGAGAATTATGTGAGAGATAGACAATTTCACACCCTAAATTGAAGGAAAGAAAGAAGTAAAAACCAAGGCATTATAAATGGTGTTATGTACAGCTAGAAAAGATA